CTTGGTCATCGAGGAATCTGAAGGCATTCTAGTCCTGATCTTTTGTGGGTGACCTAGGCTTGTGGTTATTTTTTGTGAAAGTAATGAAATTTGAGGCTATGCCTTGGTGTAGGTCCATTTTTAACCACTGGGCTAAGTATTTGGGGTCCTTTAAATCTGGAAGCTTGCAAGGCTCTGTTCCAGGAAGCTTTTTAAATCTATTGAGGATTGTTTCTCCTCTGTTCTTTCTGAAACCTGGTATTTTGGATGTTAGACTGACTTGTCTGGTCCTGTGTACTTTACTTATTTTTGTCCTGTTTTTAGTCCCTATTTGCTTTACTCTGGGAGGTAACCTCAACTTTAGTTTCTAGCCCTTGAATTGAGTTTTTCATTTCCACTAACACATTTTTATTTTCCAAGAGGTATTTTTGATTTCTGAATACTCTCCTGTTTTTTAAAAAAATTACCCTGTTGTTCTAAGGATGTAGTATTTTTCCTTCATGGGAATATAAATGTTGGCTTTTTTTTGACATTTTATTTGCCTTGCATAGTTTCTATTTCCTCTAGTTTTTCTCCCCCCATTTAATTTTCTGTCTTACAGTGTCAGGGGCTTTGCTCAGATGTCTGGTTTTATTGTCTGTTTAAAAGTAAAGACTAAATAAAACACCTGCGTTGGGGGTGAGTCTTGCCGACAGTAGGCTCACCGTAGAGGGATTCCGCTCGGCTGTTTTGTTGAGGTGACCCTATTGCCAGAGTAGGTGGATCTTTTCTCTCGGCTGGTCAGATCCCCATTGGAGCACTCCACTTCCTGGCCTGAGGGTGAAGGCTTAGCTGGCAGTGTTCTGCTGGCTAAGCATGGGGAGGGGGCTGCGGTATACGTATGTCTGTGTCCAATGGGGCTACATTCCCGTGACGTCCTGTTGATTCTTCTCCCTCGCCCTCAGCTGGCCTGTGCCCCCCCAGGTCAGAGTGTGCTGTGGTAACTTTTCCACAGACTCCTTCAGGATTCTGCCAGGGTCGGGGAGGGCAGCTGTTGGCCTGTGTGGAGTGGGGGATGTCAGATTGCTGCTTCAGTAGCTTTCGCACAGTCTGTTTTAGATCCTCTCCATGAGTAGAGGTACATTTCACCAGTACTTAAAACTGGTGGGGATTCTGCAGTGTAAGTGGGGTTGGTTCTTGTCTGGCAGACATGACCCCTTCCTGCCGGGTGCGCTGTGACACTGACGTGCTGTGTTCTCTTTCCTTTAGATCCTTGAGGGCAACATGAAGGCCTGCTTTATTATGAATGATCCAGCAGGAAATAGCTACCTGCAGGTGCAGTAGTGGGCCCTCCCTGATGCTTCATGGAGATGCATTTCCTGACCTGAATAGAATATCATTTCTCCAGAAACTGAGAGGCTTGATAAGGAACCTTTTAGCAGAAGTTGGAAGATAAGGGAGGAGGGGGGAAGGGAGGAGGGACTGTAAGTGCCTGAGAAGAGGGAGAAAGGACACTCCTAAGCTCCCTCTTCCGCTAGTCCAGCTCTCGTCCCCGGGTCTGGGTCCCCCAGGAGAGTTTTCATTTGCAAATCTGATGATGGAGCGAAGAGAAATGGTGCCAAGTCCGAGGCCAAGACAGGAAAACCGAGTCTTTAAGCCGACTAGGGAGAGACTCTAGTGATTGATAGTAACTTTAACATCTTTTTAGCAGTCATTATGGGTTAGGTAAAACTGCATGATTCTGCATGATTAAAGTTATTGCCATGCTCTTTGTAAGAAGGTGCAGAGGAAAACGTTTTAGGCAGACTGTTTCCTAATTCTCCCTGAGGTTGGACGTCCTGCTCCCGGCCCAGAAGGCCTCTGTTGCCATCCAGTAGTCGAGAATATCAATAGGGAATCGGAGACCCTTAGAAAGAGAACATCTCCTTAAATCCTTGGGAAAGGGGGAGTTGGAAGCCATCTGGGGGCAGCAGGCAGCAGAGGGGCAGCAGGGGCCACGGGCGCTGATTCCCGGTTTGGTCTTGCAGAATGTGTATGCGCCTGAAGATGATCCTGAGATGAAGGTGGAGCGTTATGAGCGCACATTTGACCAGAATGAGGAGCTTGGGCTCAATGACATGAAGACTGAGGGCTATGAGACAGACCTGGCCCCACAGCGGTAGCAGGGGAGCAGCTCCCGGGCCAGCCTCTGGTGCTGCTCAGATCGTAGGGTTATTTATCTCTGTTGGAAAAGGTGTGGAGACGTTAGGCACACTATGTGAACGGTTTGTGATGGAAGTGTAAGCCTGGTGGGCTACTTGACCTTATTTTGGAGGTTTTGACTGGCCTGGGAGGAAACCCAGAAATTAACTATGGAGCATGTCACCCCTTTTTTCCTGTTACATCTTTCCCCTCCCTCCACCCAGTGGAGGGAGCCTTCTCCTGGGCAGGAACTCTCAAGTTGGAGAATGTAGAAGACAGCTACATCTAGAGTTTGAGAGTTGGTTGGGTATATAAAATACTGCTTTTCAACAGGAAAAGAGTCTTCTGAGGGAGGGAACCCAGCATAGGTGACGAAGTTCTCATTAAAATGATGGCTTTCAAACAGCACTGTCTTCTGAATTCACTCTGTCCTTGCTAGATACCATGCTGGTAGAATTCAGCCCCGAAGGAAGTTTCTTCCAGTGTAGCCACTGTAATTTGGGGATTGGAGCTGGCATTTCAGTTATTCCTTCAGTAGATGTTGGAGTGCTGACTTTGTGCCAAGCATGCCACAGGACTGAAAAAAATAATAGTCTGTTTTCATGGAGCTTAAGTGTCGTGGGGGAAACTGGCAAACAGTGGGTTTGGGGTTGATGATAAACAGGCAAGTGAAACGGTCTGCCAGGCGGTGTAAATGTGAAGCAGGGAAGGGTATGGTAGTGCCAGCAGAGGTGGGGGCAGGTGTTCCCGAGAGTAGGCAGGGGCCATCTCAACAAGAAGGTGGTCATTTGACCTTTTGGTAAGGCTGAGAAGGAGGCAGGGAAGTAAGCCCCATGGATAACCTGGGAAAGATGTTTCCACGCAGACGGGAGTATGCATATAAAAGCCTCGAGGTTAAAGGATGTTAGAGCCAGTTGGGGGTATTTGGGGTCATCTGGTCTCACTCTCATTTACAAATAGGGAAAGAGGTTCAGGCAGCCCACAGTTGCTCTAACGAGCACCGCAGCCTAGGGCCCTGGGCTCCCTAGCGCGTGCTCTGCACTGCCTCAGCCACTGGTGCCTCCTGCGGCGCAGACGTGTTACTTGCTGGGGACACTAGACAAGCCTCGGTGCTCTAGGCTGCCGACTTACAGACAGCAGTACTCATGCCATCCACCCTCACCTTCCAGTCAGCACTTCTCAGAGGTCACGCGCGGGGTGTTCCACGTGGAAAGCGTTCTCATTCTCTGTGCTCCTTCTGTTGGGTTTGGCAGCGGACAACCTCTTCCTGGCCCTTCTCTTGGTTCCTGAGATACTGCTTTTCTCTTACTGTGATCCTTCCTTGTTGGAATTTCTGCCGCCTCCCTCTTCATTAAATGTATTTGTCCAAGGAGTCTGTTTTCAGACACCTCTCCCTATTGAATTCTTTGGCATTTGATGACTTTTCATGTGGGACTGACCCCCATACTTGTATTTCTATTTTCTGTCAGTGAGGCAAGCGTTAGGTGTTTTAAGACTTCAGGGACAGGTTATCAGGTGACTCACGTGAACTATAAGGCTATAGAGAGCACTTTGAATAGACTTACCCCTTTAGTACTGGCACCACTAATGCTCTAGTTTCCTGGTCTGTAAGATAGGGATTATAATGCTATCTACTTGGTAGGATTATTGTGAGGATTAGTGAATTAATAATTCTGAAGTGCTTTTATATGTATTTTCTCTCGTATAATACAAAAACTAAAATGTCTCTGTTCTGCTTTAAACCTTTCCTGGAAAAAAGTAGCTGTAAATAAAATCATCCTCATTTTACAGGTGAGGAAACAGCTTCAGAGAGGCTAGGTAACTTCCAGAAGGAATTAAACCTTCTAAGAAGCAGGCTTCAAAGTCAGGCCAGTCTGAAACTTGAGCTTTGGACATTTTAGGTCAAGTCTATAACTACTGTATTTGCTTTATTAGATGAAACTACAGAGAGGGCAAAGCTCAGACCCTGCCACTGGGCATGTATTAATTTGATCCTGCTTAACTGCTCTGGGAGGTAGACAGGGCTGGGACCTGAGCTCGGGTCTTGTCAGGCCAAACCCGTGTACTGAATAGAATGGGTAGCAGTGGAACTGAAGACAGAAGAGGGCAGGAGGTGTGTTGGTGTGGCTGAGGGCTGTACTGGTCATGCTCACTGGAGCAGAAATATGACTTAAAAATGCCTGCTGACGCTGGGTGGCAGCAGGGCTGTGGAGTTCAGTTTGTGATACACCAAAGTGGACTGGAGGCCAAGGCAGGGTTGGGTATGGGGGACCTGGGGAGCCTTCCAGCCAGTGAGGCTGTATCTCAGTGCAGCGTCCCCTTCGCAGAAGCCCAAAGAGACCCAGCCTGCTTTCCTTTCTTGGCCTCTGCTGTGGTCACTCAGTAGAGTCGAGTGGTTAAAAGTTCAAGCTTTAAAGCAGTGATCTCCAAACCTATTTTGTTACATATACATATTTTTTGAGCATGTATCCCAAGATATGCATGTTTATTTGTGAAGTATAACAATGCCTTCTTGGCTAATATGCCTTGAAACAGGGACAAAAATTTTAACGTGTAAGGAAAATATGCTACTCTTTATTTAAAATCTGGATTACCTTTTGTACTCCACATTGCTAGCTTCTGCTCCCAAGGTCATGTTTTGGCTGTGTGAAATTAGGAAATTTCCTTAACCTCTCTAATCTTTGGTTTTCTCCTCTGTAAAATAAGGATAACACTACCACCTGAGATGCGGGAGGATTAAATGAGATAATTCGAATAAAGCTCTTAATGCCCACAAGGAGAAAAGTCTTCCTTTTCTCCCAAAACGAGTATTAGAATTTTATTAGTATTAGCTTCCCTCTTTCGATGAGCTGAAAATGGATCCAGGTCCTTTTCATGGGAAAGATTCTACACAGGAGGTAGGTGGGGGCTGCCAATAATACAAACGTGGGGAAGTTGAAAGTAGGGGGAAACCACCGTATTTTGCATAGTAATTGTATCGGGTTTGGAATTCCTAACGACTCTTGAATGGTGCACGGAAGCCTGGTGGAGCAGATCCCCCGACCTAAACACCCTGATATCGAGAACACTCGCTATGTGCCACACGTTCCAAGTACTTTATACAGTAATATTTCCTCAGGCCTCATAACTACTGAGTTAGGTGCCATTATCCACATTTTGTTAAATAACTTGCCCAAGGACGTACGGCTGGTAAGTCGTGGGACTGGCGCTCAGATGCCCCGCGACGCCAGAGCCCTTGTAAGTCCGCACCGGGTGCTTCGGGACCGCCGCGGGCAGGTCTTTGGGTCGTGGCGGCAGCCCCGCGGCTACCACAGCGCTTGCTGCATAGGCTGCCGAAGGGGCAGATGCAGGACAATCGGAAGAAACCGGGTTGCGCCGTTAGAGAGATGCGGAGCGGCCTGCGAGGTGCGCCCGTCCCGGGACGGCCGGCGAACGCTCTCACCGGCGGGCCGGGCAGCTCCGATGCCCCGCCCCTTCCGGCCGGGGCCCCGCCCTCTCGCGCCGGCGCCCGTCGCTTTGCGTTGAGGAATTTTGTCCAGAGCGCCCACCCGTCTCCCCGCCCACGCCGCTGCCATGGCGGCGGCTCCGCCGCTCTCCAAGGCCGAGTATCTGAAGCGGTACTTGTCTCGGGCGGATGCCGGCGCCGACGGGGGCCCTGAGTCCTGTCGCAAGCGTCGCAGAAAGCGGCCGAAGCCTGGCGGGGCCGGCGGCCAGGGGTGAGTCGGGCCTGGCGGGACGGGCCCTGGGGCGGCCCGGCGCCCCCTCCTTCCCAGCTCCGCGCTCTGCCTGCCCTGCGCGCCGGCCGCCCGGGCCGCGCTACGCTGTGTGGGCTCGGAGCTCCGCTCAGGCCTCCGCTCGCGGCCCTGGGCCGTGTCTTCGGGGTGTTCGGGCCGGGCCGTGACTCTCCTCACGGTTTTTCCCCGCCTTGCGGCGCTGCGTGCGCTCCCGTAGAGAATGAATTCCGCGCCCCGAGAACAGCGGCGTGGCGGGTTCAGGGCCTCCGCGCCTGGGTGTTCGGGGCCCGGGGCCGGGCCGTGCGGGCTCTGCGGTCCCAGGGACTGCGGTCGGTGAGACCGCGCTCGCTGCCGGCTGCTCTTGGTAACAGTCGCACCGACAGTAACTGCCGGCGTGCGGTTCTGCCACTTGCCGGGCTCCGTTCTAAGTACTTGGGAGAAGAATTAACTTCAACTTCACAGCGCAACCGAGAAGTAGGTGGTGGTGGTATTGCCGTTTTTCAAATGAGAAAACTTTTGTAGCCCAGTGTACCGGGCTGAGCAGTGCCCCTCCTTCGAGTTCTTGCCCAGCGAGAATTAGAATGTGACGTTGTTTGGAAATAGGCTCCTTGTAGAGGTACTTAGTTAAGACGAGGTCGTGGTGGGTTAGTATGGGCGCCACATCCAGTTTGGTGCCCTTCTAAGAAGAGGGGAATTTGGACGCAGAAACCGGCACAGAGGGAAAATGACCATGTGCGGATGCGACTGACCCTGGGCCGAGTTTACGGTGTCGCCAGGCAGGGTGTGCCCGGGGCTGCTAGAAGTCACAAGAGTCGAGGAAAAATCCTCCCGTAAGGCCGTCCCAGCGGACACCTTGATCCCAGCCGCAAGCCTCCAGACCTGCGGGAGAACTCATTTCTGTTTTAAGCCACTCAGCTTGTGGTGCTTTGTTAGGCAGCCGTGTGAATCTGATACACTCAGTAAGTCACATAGTTTTAAAGCGCTAACTCATTGCTCTTCCTGTTTTGGTTCTTGCCGCATTCTTGCATTCTGTCTTCCTGCCTTTCTGACTTGTCTGGGTTCTTTGGAAGCGGTGTCATGTAGTGTAAATAGCTTGAGCACTTTTAGAGCAGACGTAGGGTGAGTCCTAGCAGTGCCACTTTACCGGCTGTGTGGCCTTGGGCAAGATATATCATCTCTTTAATCCTCAGTTTCCTCATGTTTAAAATGGCAGTGATACTAATATCACATTAAGCGGTTGTGATGAAAGATGTGTTCAGTGATCGTGGCTTTTCCAGTAATGACTGTTCCCATGATGGCAGTCATGATTATTATTTGGACTCTTCAATAGCATATCCACGTAAGAAACATTTATTAAATAAAATACTTCCTATGCCAGTTACTGCAGGATGTTTAGCATACGACTGTGAATGAGGAACGCATAGACCCTATTCTGATGGACCTTGTAGTTTAAGGGGGATATAGGCTTTAAACAATTAGTTACACAACTCATTGGTTTATTTCCTCTGTGACAAATGCAATGAAAGTGTTCCAAGAATGTGCAGTGCGTTCTTAGGATGTAATAGGAGCCGCCAGGGAAGGTATGCTCAGGGAAGCTGTATATATGCTAGGATCTTAAGCGTGAGTAAGAGTTTCCCGGTAAAGAATGAGAACAGTAGGTCAGGCACATCAGTGAAAACTGGGGTAAAGGATTTGCCTCATTCCAGGCACCAAAAGATGACCAGCGAGGTAGTGAACTGACGAGGCAGTGGTACAAGACAGAGTTGGCCATATAGGCAAAGATCTTGTAGGGTTTTGAGTTTTATCCTAAAACCAATAGGTAAGTGTTTGTAGGCTGTTGTTCCAGAAGGAGTCTCCCTTTTTGATCATTTTATTTTCTCATTTAGAATGCGGATTGTGGATGATGATGTGAGCTGGACATGTATCTCCACCACTAAACCAGAAAAGGAGGAAGAAGATGATGGGGATTTACCTGTGGTATGTATCTTTTGAGGCTGGGAAGACTTTGGAATGCATGCCTCTCAATATTGATGCCCAGTGCAGGGTAGATTTGTAAGGGGGAAAGTTGAGGGCAGAGAACAGGTGATGCTTTCAAAGAACTGTTTTACAATAATCTTTTTTGATGATGCCTATACACTCTCTTCAGCCTAGAAATGGGAACAAATCATAAAGGCAGGACTCCTCAATATCGGCGATAGAGCCATGATTAGAATTAGCCATGGTTCAGCTTGTTGGAATCTACCTTATAAACAGTGTTCAGGGTCAGTTATAGGAAACTTTTATTTGCTCCTTTTATTCATTGATTCAACTAAACCTTAAAATTGTATACTCTTGCCTAAATACTGGAGATGCATAGATTTATAGAACGTAGTGTCTGTATGTCAGAGGTCATACCTTGAAATGGGAGGTTGAACTTCAAATAATTTCATCAATATGATCAATGTTGGAGGTACATTCTGCATATGTACCAAGTGCTATTAGAGCACAGGGAGACAGCACACTTTTTATTCCACTGGGAAATTCCATGAAGGATGTAAATATCTGAATTGAGTTTTGGAGGTTGAGTAAGAGCCAGGTGGAAAAAAGCATAGGCAGATAGCCCAGCATTGGTACAGTCCTGGAACCTTTGCTGAGAATTGCCGAGAAACAAGTGAAAATGAGAGCTGTTCAAAGGCTGTGTTATATTGAAAGTCTTCAAAAATGAATTCCAGATGAGTATATTTAATGTTAATCTCAGCATATTCTACAATAGATCACTTAAAAGAAGGTTTGTTAGTAATTAGAAGGAAATAGTGATACAAGGAGTCAGTTTAGTTTCAGTCAGAATGAATCACTTAGTCCTAATTAATGTTTATAATCTTTGTTCTTTATGTTGTAAAAGTAATACATATTTATTGTAGAATATTTGAGGATTATAAGAAAGTTAGTTTACTCATTTTCATTGAAGTGTAACTGACATACAATATCCTGTTTCTGGTGTCCATCATAGTGATTTGATATCTTTTTTATGTGATGAAGTGATCCCCACAGGAAGTCTAGTCACCATATGAAGTTATTACACTATTATTGACTGTATTCCCTAGGTTGTACATTACATCCCATGACTGACTTGTTTTGTAACTGGGAGTTTGTACCTCTTAAATCTTTTTTGCCTATTCGCCTGCTCCCCAACACCTCCCCACTCTGATAACCAACAGTTTCTTTCCTCTGTTTCCATTAGTCTGTTTCCATTTTGTTTTGTTTTTTAGATTCCACAAGTTTAAAGTTTTGAATATAATAATCATTTATACTGCAACCATCCAGAGATGACAACTGCTAACATTGGATGCATATCTCTTTAATTCATAGATTATACACCCTTGTATTTTATTTGTTTTTCAAATACAGTTGGGATCATACTGTGCATATGGTTTTGGAGCCTGCTTTTTCACTTAATAATATGTTGTGAAAACTTTACTAGGCCTGTAACATATTGTTTGAGAATGTAAGTTTTAATGGATGCACAGTAGTTCAGTCAACATGTTAATTTAACCTGTCCTATCACTGGACATACAGGTTATTTTCTGTTTTAAGATATAATGTTTTGATAAACATCTTGTACAGAAATCATCATAGGAATCCATTTATTTATTTCTCTGAATTGAAATTAATAGGTTAGAGAGTATGGTCCTTTTGAGCTCTTTTCCCATAATGCTTTCTAAGAGGTGGTACAAATTTATGCTCCCACTCTAAGTGTATGAGAATGCCATAATTCATTAATGCCACAACATCATCAACAATAAATCAACAGCACACCTATGCCACTGTGGCAGGTGAACAGTAGTGTCCAGTTGCTTTGAAAAATATTGAAGTAAGTAATTTTTCATATGTTTATTGGGCATTTGAATTTTGTGAGTTTCTTGGTATTCTTATTTTTTTAGAAAATTGGGATTTTTTTCATTGACTTAATATTTGTTTAATAAGAACATTTTATGTTTTGCATGTCACAGGCATATTTTGTCATTTGCCTTTTCATTTATAATGGTTTTTAACATTTAAAAATTTTAGTTCTTATGTAGTCAAGTATGTTAATTTTCCTTTATATTGTCTTTTGCTTGTAATGGTGACACCAGTACCTAAACAAGGGAGGGTCAGCCTCCCTGATCTCTGCGCGGGTTAGAGTGGATTTGATTATTGAGTACATTTCTCTTACTGCAAGAGCATCACTACCACCAGTAACAAAGGCAAAAGATTCAGGACAGTGACAGTAACAGTGGCAGGAATAATAGATCGTGTGCTGAGCAGTTGTCCTGTGCCCAGCACGGCTGAGCTGCCACAGATGATCTCACTGAACTCTCATAGCCATCCTCGGAGTCCTACCCTTACAAGTGGGGAAGTCGAGGCTTAGAGAGAAGAGTTCACCAAAGGGTGCACAGATGTTAAGTGACAAGGCTGGGTGGGGTTTAGATCTCACTTCTTGCTTGAAAGTCTGTGCTTTGAATGCATAGTGAGAGATTTCAGTCAGAGGCTATATGAGGAATGATGGTAGGATCTTGGGAGAAGAGAGGTAGAGGGAAATTCTGATCTGAGTTTAAATTCCAGCTCTGGCACTTGCTAGCTTGTGACATTAAGAAAGTTACTTCTCTGAGTCATAGTTTGTTCCTTAGTAGTGTGGAGCCTTTCTTTGCAGGGCTGTTTTGAGGACTGAATGAGATAATACAAGTAAAACATAAAACAATGCCTTGCACATAGTCGCCACCCTATAACTAGAATTTATTATGCCAGCCATCTTCGAAAGTGTCATGTAGAAAGGGGGTCAATTGCATCAATGGAAAGAAGTCATAGGAAGATAGATATTGGTCCAATAAAGCTTAAGAACTTTCTAGTACTGTCCCAGAATGCAGTGGACTGCCTTGTAACTTACTGAGTTCCCTGTCAGTGAATTGGTTCCCTGTCAGGGAGGAACTAGGTGAGTGATCATTTATCAAGTATATGATAGAGAAGATTCCAGATTTGTTTAGGAATTTGGATGATAAGAAATGTGATTTTATTTATCTCTTAATGACCTCCTTTGGTTGGATTCAAGAAAACCTGTTGTTGTGGGTCCTTACAATTAGAAAGGTTCCATAAAGAGCCTGAGGCCCTTGATGAGTGGCAGGCATGACAGGAAGCTGCCTGTGTTTCACTTGGAATGTACAAAGGTAAAAGGAATTTAGCTTCCAGCTTACAAGTGGCAGTTGTGCACTGGCAGGTTAATAAAAAGGTTTGTAATAAAAGAAATTAGCCTTTGGAAGGAAATTGATTAGTCAGGGAACGATCACTAATTAAACCGTCCAGTGACAATCAGATGTTTCTGGAACAAACAAAGCTGAGGGCCACTCCATGTTTCTTCATGGCCATTTGGGTCTGTGTACCATGTATGTTGGGAATGGGAAAGGGCATAGCTTCAAGTTCTTGAGACCACAGTGCTCCTTAGCTACACCCTGTTGTCTCTTCAACATAGTGTCCTCATTCCCACAGGTGGCTGAGTTTGTGGATGAGCGGCCGGAAGACATAAAGCAGATGGAAGCTTTTCGTTCCAGTGCCAAATGGAAGCTTCTGGGAAGTGAGTTCTAGTAATAGATAACTATTTTTCCCATTTATTGGAGAAGACTTTTTTCCTTCTCTGTGCTTTACTTTTAGAGGAATGGGTACTGTGTTTTAGTGTGCTGTTGGTGCTGAAAAATACTGTGAAAAGAATTCAGGACTTCTTCAGAGGTGGTAAGTCATGGGAACTGAGAGACTGCTTACTGACATTTGGGTTTTAGGGTTTCCGAGTCAGGAAGCACTCACTTCTCTCTGGCCCAGAATAGGAGAGCAGACAGGAGAGTATTTAGGCAGGACTTTGGGGAGTTCGCAAGAATCTGAGGAACAGAGTCTGGAGACTTTAACAACCTGTGTCCTCTCCCAGAATGAAGTGACTCATATATGGATCAAGGACCAGTGTTTTCTGTCCTTGTTGTTTGTCTTTGTTCTTCCTTTAAATACTGGTATTTTACAGTACGTTTTGCTCCACTTGCCTGCTCTATACTCTCTCCCTAGGCTAATAATTTAACTCCCTAGTAAAAAAAAATGTTTGAATTCTTGAGAATTAGATAAAGGGCATTTGTCATGTCTTAGCAGAGATGAAGCCTAGTCTTAGTTGCCCTGGTATTCCCCCTGCCCAGAACAAGAAGGTGCCATTAATAAATATTTCTTGAATTGTTGAATTGCTAAGGTATTTGGTTCTTGCCTTCCTACTACTCTTTGGAAAATCATTACTTGAGGCTTAGCAGTCATTTCCTCTTTTCCAAAAACTTGGTAGGTAGGCCTTCTTACTCAGGGGCACAGACTAAGAAATAATTAGTCCCAGCCCTGATCCCAGTCATCCGGGCTCTGTGTGGTAGGTGGAAGTGTGCTGGGTTTTTACTCCCTCTTTTCCTTCCTTCATAAACAAGGATCTTGAATCTTGATAGGTGGTTAAGTCCACTTTACCCTTGTTCCTTTTTCACACATCCTTTATCCAGGATTTGTTTTTTCGGTATTATACTTTGTGTCTTTAGGTTAATTATCCTACAGTTCTGATCAGAAAAATGCATGACAGTTTTCTATATAACACTTACTGATCACCATTGCCTCAGTTAATTTTCAGTACATGACTGTTACGTTTTTGGAATGAAAACTTTATTATCGATATTCTTTTATCTGAATCCTATTCACTCTTATCCATTTTTTTCTGCCTTATCCCATAGTTGTTTTTCCGGTCTTTTCCATAATCCTTTTTTCTTAGAGAATCATCTTGTCTCCATATTTATAGGTCGAGGAAGTGATACACACACACATAGGCAGATAGTTCTTTTTCTTTGTCTCTCTTTCAGTGCCTCATCCCCAGTTGTTACTGGAAATACTCTCACTGATTGCTGACCCTTGCTTCCTTTTTATGAATATCATGGAATTTATTAATCTCATGGATTATATTTACTGTCAGGTCACTCACAGATATCAGTACTTTTCTAGTCAGCCTATTTCCTAAAGTGAAGGACTTGACTTGGTTAAATTCATTCATTTAACAAGAATTCACTGGATTCTGCCCAGCTTTCATTTGTATTTGGGCCATGGAGCTCAATGACAAGAAATGGAGGGAGAGGAGAAGCTGAATTTTGAAAATGTCCTAAGTTGCTATAAACATTTCATTCTGTTATGCCTTTGAAAATTCAAAGTCTTAAACTCTTTCCCCAACTACATATTTTTAAGGATTCCACATGGACTCTGGTGTCAAATAGATCTGGGATTTGGATGTTCACTCCACCACCTATTAGCAGTGTGACTTTGACAAATTACTTAAGCTGAGCGTCAATTTCTTCATCTGTAAAATGAGGATAAGAATATCCGCTCTTAGGCTTTTTGTGAGAACTGCTGTGCCACATCTTTGGCAGGTAGCAGGTGAGCAGTAAATGCTGACCCTTCTTTATTTCTGGTGATCACCCCGTAAGGGCACAGTGACGTGGACTGAATAGTTAGCATTTCATTTTGAAACCTGGGCACAGGTTTAGTCAGTTTGCCTTTTGAAAGGAGAGTGAGTACAAACTATAAATTACCCAGGCTAGATGTCAGGAGGACGCTCTGACTGGGGCCTCTGCACAAAGAAGGTTTTGGGGAAAGCATTGGATTGGAAGTTAGAAGATTTGCCCTGCTCACCCTAGAAGGTATAATATGGAGAATGTATTTAAAATGCTTTTGCAAATTTATGACTTGTTGGGCTAATACAAGAGATTATTCTTAAGATACTCTCAAGTGCTGGCTTACTGACCCTACGCAAGAGAACCGCGCAGTCCTTGTGGGCTGCCTAAGTAGCTCTGAGATGTATGCTGCTGGGGCATCTTTTGAAACTTTGGTATTGGGCATGAACAGAGTATTTGTGGGAACCTGCCTCTTTGCTCTTTGTGTTTAGGTCACGGTGAAGATCTGTCCTCACCCAGACATTTACGTCATGACACCCCAGATTTTTCTCCCCCAAGGAGGGCCCGTCACGACACCCCGGATCCATCTCCCCCGAGGAGGGCCCGTCACGACACCCCAGATTCTTCTCCCCCG